GTATTTACAAATTTCAAATTCATTTAAACTTATTATTATGCAAAACGGCTGGCTACCTGGCTACCATAATAAATCTATAATAAAACGCCTGGCTACCAGCTGGCTACCATAATAAAACAGCTGGCTACCACTTGGCTACCTGTATAACATAAAGTATTTACAATTTTTTTGAAATTTGTAAATACTCTATGTTATACAGGTAGCCAGGTGGTAGCCAGCTGTTTTATTATGGTAGCCAGGTGGTAGCCAGGCGTTTTACTATAGTTTTATTATGGTAGCCAGGTAGCCAGCTGTCTTGCATATCAATAAGTTTAAGTAAATTGAAGCCGTTTTCATATACCTGTATAACACCAAGTATTTACAAATTTCAAATTCATTTAAACTTATTATTATGCAAAACGGCTGGCTACCTGGCTACCATAATAAATCTATAATAAAACGCCTGGCTACCACCTGGCTACCATATTAAAACAGCTGGCTACCACCTGGCTACCTGTATAACATAAAGTATTTACAAATTTCAAAAAATTTGTAAATACTTTATGTTATACAGGTAGCCAAGTGGTAGCCAGCTGTTTTATTATGGTAGCCAGGTGGTAGCCAGGCGTTTTATTATAGTTTTAATAAGGTAGCCAGGTAGCCAGCTGTCTTGCATATCAATAAGTTTAAGTAAATTGAAGCCGTTTTCATATACATATATAACACCAAGTATTTACAAATTTCAAATTCATTTAAACTTATTATTATGCAAAACGGCTGGCTACCTGGCTACCATAATAAATCTATAATAAAACGCCTGGCTACCACCTGGCTACCATATTAAAACAGCTGGCTACCACCTGGCTACCTGTATAACATAAAGTATTTACAAATTTTTTGAAATTTGTAAATACTTTATGTTATACAGGTAGCCAGGTGGTAGCCAGCTGTTTTAATATGGTAGCCAGGTGGTAGCCAGGCGTTTTATTATAGTTTTATTATCGTAGCCAGGTAGCCAGCCGTTTTGCATAATAATAAGTTTAAATTAATTTGAAATTTGTAAATACTTGGTGTTATACATGTATATGAAAACGGCTTCAATTTACTTAAACTTATTGATATGCAAGACAGCTGGCTACCTGGCTACCTTATTAAAACTATAATAAAACGCCTGGCTACCACCTGGCTACCATAATAAAACAGCTGGCTACCATCTGGCTACCTGTATAACATAAAGTATTTACAAATTTTAAAAGTGAATTTTAAAATTTGTAAATACTTTATGTTATACAGGTAGCCAGATGGTAGCCAGCTGTTTTAATATGGTAGCCAGGTGGTAGCCAGGCGTTTTATTATAGTTTTAATAAGGTAGCCAGGTAGCCAGCTGTCTTGCATATCAACAAGTTTAAGTAAATTGAAGCCGTTTTCATATACCTGTATAACACCAAGTATTTACAAATTGCAAAAATTTACTTAAACTTACTTATATGCAAGGGAGCTGGCTACCTGGCTACCATATAAATCTATAATAAAACGCCTGGCTACCACTTGGCTACCATATTAAAACAGCTGGCTACCACCTGGCTACCTGTATAACATAAAGTATTTACAAATTTCAAAAAATTTGTTAATACTTTATGTTATACAGGTAGCCAAGTGGTAGCCAGCTGTTTTATTATGGTAGCCAGGTGGTAGCCAGGCGTTTTATTATAGATTTATTATGGTAGCCAGGTAGCCAGCCGTTTTGCATAATAATAAGTTTAAATGAATTTGAAATTTGTAAATACTTGGTGTTATACATGTATATGAAAACGGCTTCAATTTACTTAAACTTATTGATATGCAAGACAGCTGGCTACCTGGCTACGATAATAAAACTATAATAAAACGCCTGGCTACCACCTGGCTACCATAATAAAACAGCTGGCTACCACTTGGCTACCTGTATAACATAAAGTGTTTACAAATTTTAAAAGTGAATTTTAAAATTTGTAAATACTTTATGTTATACAGGTAGCCAGATGGTAGCCAGCTGTTTTAACATGGTAGCCAGGTGGTAGCCAGGCGTTTTATTATAGTTTTAATAAGGTAGCCAGGTAGCCAGCTGTCTTGCATATCAATAAGTTTGTCAGTTTCCCAATTGTAACGCAACGTATTTCCATGTAAGAAAGCATGCTACTGGTATTTTTCTTATTTCATCTAAATCATTTTTATAAATACCACAAGTTGTTAACTTTTTTAATAATTCATTGAACAACAATAGAATCTTCATGTAGACATCCTTGATACAGTACCAAACTTATATAAGTAAATCGAGGATGGGAGTTCAAAATTTACAGTTGATAAGATAAAGGTTTGACGAGTGTTGCAACTACATTTTAGTTCAAATTAGCGTCTTCCAAGTACGTATGGAAAATGCATGGTAGCTTTGGAAACGCATTAAGGGCACGTAACGGAATCGCTAAATTGCCAACTACCTCCCATGTACTAGATACTATTTTCATTTCATAAATTGTTAATAATGTCAATGTTATTTTTTAAATATAACGCAACAAAACGTTCTTATTCATTTTAGGTTTTTGTAAAATTAAAATATTTTTGCATTTATTGCACACACAACGCAAGACTTTGGAAAATAGAGTAATCCTTATGTCTAATATAGAACGGGAAACGTTTATTTCCACACAACTTTTACTGAACAGTACAGCACACTACACGTTCTCTACTGCCTGACGGTTGTAAAATATGTCTGCGAATTTAAAAAAACATCTTCGCATTCTTTATTGGGATTGTTGATTTTCTCCATAGCCCTGAACATGGGACATCGATCTTTCATAACTTTCACCTGAACAACAGCTCGTACGCGTAGTAAAGTTTTGTAATCTTTTTCATGCCTCTTTGCAAATCGATCAATATCAAACACATCGCGTGTTTTTCCTGTTACTAACATCCACGCGTCTATTTCTGGATCCGCTTTCCTCCAGAAGTCTGCTTCGGTTTTGTCGCGCCGTCTTTCTGCCTTCATCCGTCGCTCGGTAAAAGAGGTTGCGTGGAAGCGTGAGAGTTTTGTACGATGAAAGTTCCACTCCCAAAAGTTTACAATCTTTTGATAGTACCAGTTGTCATTTAACACCCATGTCGATTGGTCAGGAATAATCAAGGGTAAGGAATTTTCTTGCTGTTCATCATCACTTTCATGCATCTGTTTATGAACCGTTGCTACTGCAGTCTGCACAGTTGGGACATGTGTACTTTCGGGCTGATGTAGGACTGCTGTGTTGGGGGGACAAGCGTTTATTTTACTTTCGATACAGTCCCGTGTCTTGTCATTGCTATTTGTTGATAAATTGCTTTCGGGGTCCTCAAGAAGATGTAGAAGTTTTGAAGTGATCTGTTGGAAAATTGGACGCCACTAACTTTGGTCAACGCATCCTCCAACTCGAGCCTTTTGCTGGCAATAAGATTGTGCGCCATTTGTCGGTCTTCCCTTCTTACACGCCATGTCGCTCTGCAGCCGATTGCCTTTAAATCACCCTTGACCTGTAAAGGTATTGGCGTATACCAATAAGTTAACGTTTACATAATGATTTAGTTATTTGTAATGGTACGTACTAGCTGTACTGTAGGATGGAACATAGTTCTTAGTCTTACCATATGTTGTAACATGCACATGTGGCAATTCATTCTTATGGGAATGCGATAGTATGTGCAATTTAACTACCTACAAGGCCTAAGTAATTTACATGGGGAAAATATTGCAATTGTAAATAACGAAAAGCGACCAAAACTTACCAGTGGCAATATATTTGCTCTTAAAGACTTTCGCACTCTCTTCGACGTCAGTTCTTTCCGTGGCCGTCGAGCCGCCATAGTTTTTGTATACAAAAATTCTTCGATTACTATAAGGTTTTCATTCGTTCACGAGTAGATGAAATGAGAACGAAATAGGACGTCTACATTTCCTTTATTCATTAATAAAATGTTTAGCTTTTATGTATTTGCATATAGGAACAACAATTTGGGACTTTGATCATCACCATCATCCATTATCACTACCATCATCACCAACATCACCAACATCATCACCAACATCATCACCAACATTATCACCAACATCATCACCAACATCATCACCAACATCATCATCAACATCATCACCAACATCATCACCAACATCATCATCAACATCATCATTCACACTACCATCATTACCACCATCACCAACCCCCACCACCAACTACCACCATCATCATTATCACCATCATCATAATCACTACTATCATTCATCACTCCCATCATTACCACCACCAACATCACCACCACCATTACCATTATTATCACCACCACCATCATTACTACCATCATTACAACCATCATTATCATCACCACTATTACTATTATCATCTCATAATATCAACATGAATCTATTATCATCTAATATCAATATGAATCACATATACAGGGTGTATAAAAAAAAACTGAACAGATTTAAAATTGCTCTCAATTTCGCAAAACAGCTATTTGTAGCTGGTTTTTTATATATATAGCTTCTTTGGGTACTTATAATGTAAAATAATGAAAAAAATTTCTCGAACTTAAATTTTGTGAACCAGGGGGGTGTGTGTCTTTTCCAACAAACTAAAAATGGCTCGCGCACAAAATTTAAAAGCTGCAATCATATTTTGAGTTGACAGATGGAAAATTTGTCGGGATTTTAATTACTGTACAAAATTTCAGACAATTTGGTTTAGTTTAAGCCCCTTAACTATTCACGCAAAGTTACAATTTTCCCGAAAAATCAGCTATTTGCATGCTTAATTAATGCATTTGCCTAATTTGCATATGTCAGCAATATGCAAATTAGGTAAAGGCATTAATTTAGAACAAAATGAATAGTTAAAGGGCTTAAACTAAACCAAATTGTCTGAAATTTTGTACAGTAACTAAAAACCCGACAAATTTTCAATCTATTAACTCAAAATATGATTACAGCTTTTAAATTTTGTGCGCGAGCCATTTTTAGTTTGTTGCAAAAGACACACACCCCTGATTTACAAAATTTGAGATCGAGAAATTTTTTTCAATATTTTACATTATAAGTACCCAAAGAAGCTATATATATAAAAAACCAGATACAAATAGGTGTTTTGCGAAATTGAGAGCAATTTCAAATCTGTTCAGTTTTTTTTTATAACCCTGTATAGCCAATTCAAAAAAGGTTGTCCTTTGAAACACCTTAAACTCTAAACCTTAAACCTTAAACTCTAAGCGCGCAAAGCTTAATGAGAGCACAAGTTTCAAGCTTAGTAGTTGAATATTCCAGGTATTTGTGAATGAATTGTTCTCGTAAGGAGATATTTACCATGTCTCTAAGAAATGGGCCCCATATATGATTTATAAACTGATTAAATGATGTTCCCATTATGCTTTGCACGCTTAGAGTTTTAAGGTTTAAGGTTTGAATTAGCTGTATATCAAAGATTTTAGAACCGGATAATTTTTAGATTGTAAAAACCTAGCCGATTTCAAAAAATGCCGCCGTTGGGCTGAAGAAGGATATTGTTCTTCCCATCTGACATGGATGTCAGCTAATTGTCAATTGAGTTGCAGATTATGCGGTAAGCTTTTGAGAATATTAAACTAGTACATTACGTTCACTTGTACTGTAAAGGCCCGTTTACACGGGCGATTTTTGCTGCGATTTTAGTTGCGAATTTCTCTTTTTGGAGGATGTGAAGGAGTAGATTACTTAATGATGTTGTTATCAGATTTCATAACCTGGAACATTTATAACTGATCTATTCCTTCACATCCTCCAAAAGGAGAAAATCCCAACTGAAATTGCAGCAAAAATCGCCCGTGTAAGAAACTTTTAATTCTTCGTCTCCGGACAGAAACGCACTCAAGTACTATTTAAAAAACGAGCAGGAGTGTTTTATTAGGTCTAAAGCCACTCGCGAGTTTTTTACATGGCTTCAAAAACGTTTGCATAATAAGTCAAATCTTTATATAAAAATCTTTATATAAAAATCTTTATATAAAAATCTTTATGTAAAAATCTTTATATACATAGTTTGCATAACAATGGTCTTTTGTTAAAGTGTTCTTTAGCTGGTATAAAGACGTATGCACGTAACTAATTTCTTACTCAAGATTGGATAATTGCTTCATGAATTATTAATGAGTTTTTGAATTATATTTCAATGTTTTTAACTGCGATTTTCGTGGATGAAATAAGACTAACACCGTTGAAATTTTTTTTATGGGGTTGGATTACTGTCAAAACAAGCTACGAGCCTACGACAGTTCCGATTTATATGTAGAAGTAGCGACACATCATTTAGTAATTTTCACTTATGAGTTATGTCTGCGTATTTAACAAGTACTATTCTTTAGTGATATTTTTTAAGTGGAATGTTTTATGGCAAGAGCATTCAAAACGTTTTGAACGACTTGTCATGAAACAGAAGCCAAAGCTTCATAACAAAAAAACTGCACAATCCTGTTGTTTCTCGACGATAGTAATGAGTGGTCGGTTGTTCAAATTTTCGGATAACTTGCATGATTATATAATATATATTACTACTGATCTGATGCATAAAATGAAAGAAAGGCAATGAACAATCAAAATAATATACCGTGTGTCCCAAACCATACACTTTTTTATTTAATATAGCCAAAAAATTGAACAGCTATATCACGATCAAATAAATTTTGAGTTTTTCTTGCCAAGCAAAGTGCAATCACAGTAAAAAAACTGTGGTGCAATGTAGGACAAGCTTTTTCAGTTGATGAAATATTGATATTTGAGGATGCGTTTTTTTGCCACAACCAGGGGCGTAGGAACCGGGGGAGGCAAGGGGGCACGTGACCCCCCCCCCCCACGCCAAATTTTTTGGCGTGGGGTGGGGGGGTCACGTGCCCTTTTTTGTGATGAAAAGTGCCCTTTTTGTACAAGCTAAATACTAAATTAACTTCAAAGGTGCCCTTTTGGTTTAGAAATTTCCAAGTTTTCTAAAAAAATTTGGTCAAAAAAGTGCAATTTCGGTATGGCATGACGGGAAAATTTCTTCTCTCCCCTCCGTCGCCAACATTTCCTGGAAAAATTTTTTAGGTGCACCTGGAAGCCGGTGCCCCCCCTCTCAACCCCCCAACCCCCAATCTTTTCATGCTTCCTACGCCCCTGGCCACAACTAAAGCGATATGGCAAGCGTATCAATGCATACAGATACAATTTAAAGGATCATTTTTAAAGGGTCATACAATTTGGGTCATTTTGTGCAAATTCGTAGCATTTGTCAAAAATGCTTTTGGATTTAAAACATTGCTATCTCAGTTAATTAATATTACATGAAAATTTTATTGTAATACAGTATATCCAAATTTAAATATATTAGCCATTTTTGGATACCATAAAATTTATTTGATTGTGATAGCTGTTCTAGTTTTCCTGCTATTTTGAATCAAACGGTGTATAGTTTTTTTTTGTGACACCAGTTAATGTATGGGTGCAACTGGTTATAGCTGACTAGGTAATTTAATATCGTTTCTTTCTATTCCTTTTTAGCTTGTCGTGACTTCTTAGACTATGCAGACTGTCAAAACAGAGTAAGCTCCTACGAATGTGAAACAGAACCGCAATGGATGGCTGATAAATGCAAACTTAGCTGTGGATTTTGTGGTAAGCTAACATAGGATTACTTCCAGGTGATCTCGTATTCGTATTTTAGCCAATCAGCACTCAGAAAGGGTTGTCCGAATAGAAATCCATTTTGATGTTTTCAGTCAATTATATCTTTCGTTATTCTTTATGAAACTAGTTGAAATTTTGTAATTATGTTTGGTTATAAGAACTATAGCTCTGACAAAAATATGGAATCGAAATAAAGTATATTACAGGAAATATTCAGTTGTTTTAATCATAAAATGGATTTCTATTTGACAACTAGTGCCAGTACTTTTCCGCGTATCAAGATCATCTGGTTGTGATGTTACATATCTTGCTTGTGATGAATACATATCTTGCTTGTGATGTTACTCTGAGTGTATATCCACACCGGGCAAGCTTGAAAATATATATGCCTGACCACGGTGGGAATCGAACCTACGACCCTTGGAATACTAGCTCAATGCTCTGCCAACTGAGCTACGCGGTCAGGTCGGTTCGAGTATGTGATATTTCGGAACAATATCTAGTTCCCATCTATTATTTCTAAGGTAAAAATATCAGGATTTTTTAGGCATATTACTCAATTGAATTATTTGAGTAAACATCTCAGGATTTTTTAAATATCAGGTAAAAATATCAGGATTTTTTTAGGTAAAAATATCAGGATAATTTAGGTAAAAATATCAGGATTTTTTAGGCATATCACTCGATTGTTTTAATGTTGAAGAGTTTTGTTAATGGTAAATTTGTGTGTAAATTTTTACATCTATTTATACATATAAATCAGGACGAAGTTTTTAACCGATTGTTAAATTTTTTTATTTTCTTCATGTAGGTTGTAGGAATGTTCTCAGCGACGAAGAATGTCAACGAAGGATGATGGGTGGAGAATGTGTCAGCAATCCAATTTACATGAGCTCAAACTGCAAGCACAGTTGTGGATATTGCAGTAAGAGAACTTTTTATATTTTTTGGTTAATGAAAATATGAAGTTACAGACATTGTGTAATATTAGAGAGTTTCGGATTTGACTTGAGGTTTCCTCCTGTAGTAACACTGGATGAATAAGAGATGACTCTTACTGGATTTCTAGGAAGAACAGTTTATAACTGATATAGGGCTACCCAGAATAATTAAAGTTAGTTTAGTGTAGGTTTCTTTCTGTAGTAACACTGGATCAATAAGGGCTTCATGACTTTTACTGGGTCTCTAGGAAGAACAATTTAGAACTGATAGAGCCATCCAGAATAAATAAAGTTAGTTTAGTGTAGGTTTCCTCCTGCATGTAGTAACAATGGATCAATAAGAGATGACTCTTATGGACCTCTAGGAAGAACAGTTTAGAACTGACATAGAGCTACCCAGTATAAATAAGGTTAGTTTAGTTTAGTTTAGGATTGAGTAATAAGAGGTGTCCCTTACTGGATCTATAAGGAGAACAGTTTTGAACTAATAGAGCTATGCAGTATATATAAATAAACTTAGCTTAGTGTAGTAATGTATAACATGCATGTAGAAGTCGCAACCAGTGAAACCGTCCGAAAAATGCTCAGATTATTCGTCCATCGTATCGTTTTCCTCCATGCAGACTGCAAGAACAGACATCCAAATTGTTCAGTTTGGGCTGCCCAAGGAGAATGCAAGAAAAATTCATTCTGGATGGATGTATATTGTACGCTCAGTTGCGGAAAATGCAGTAAGTACAATATTTAGTAACATTCACTATCAGTTATTTTATGTATAGTCACACTTGTCCCCAGGGCGTCTCGGTAAATCGCTCAGTGAGTCGAGAAGCCCTGGGAACGAGGATGGGTTCGATCCTAGGTACTATCCCCAGCTCAGTCGGTTGGGCAATGCTGCTGAGGACTTGAACCCAAAAATACAAATGCAAGCGATAGAAGCCTGAACAAAAAAAACAGTCTAACTGTCCCAATTTATGGGAAAATATCAGGATTATTTCGAGCGAACTTCAAACGTACGACGCTGGACGACGACGACGAATTCTCCCGAGGTTTAGTGGCATTGACATATATATCTGAACTGCTTGCTGTGATACTTTTTGGCTGTAGGCTTGCGTGGTGAATTGAAGCTGACGAAAATGAGAGGCCGGAAACAAGACTGACTTGTGAAGAAACACTGAAGTAAAACAGCTGGCTGGTGTATAGCAAAACATTTTTCATGCAAAATTTAGTCTTTGGCAAAACTGTTTGAAAATTTCAGTCAAAACAAAATATATTTGTTTAAAAAACAAACAAAAAACGCTAATATGTGTTAGAAATTTCATCTTTCTTTCGCCTATATAAAGTTGTATTTAAGAGGAGATTTTTTTGTATATTACGTGACACGCGCTCAAAACTAATGCGTACAATATATCACTTGAAGTTAATAATATGACTAAATTCCAAATTTTTATTTTTCAATCGGCAAACAAACTGAAAAAGTATGTTTAGTGTTTTATCTGTAAAATAATGCAAAATGAAGAGATTGTAGATGATACGCCAAAGAGAAAATGATGTCTGAAGTTTAGCAAGTTTTGCTTATATATACATGGCAGACTAGCTACTCGCTGTAAGTTATGACGTCAATTTTAAAGCAACATTGATAATTGTATTTTAACTGACAATTTATAACTATTATTTTATGTTTCTCAACCAGGAGATGCATTTAAAAGGGTAGCTAACTCTATAAACTAAAGAATAAAGCTAAAAGAAAGTAATTTTGAGCAGTTTTTATTGGAAATATGTGACATTGACAAAAATTGCCTCTTAACATTTATTTATATTTGTAAAAAAAAATTAGGGACAACAGGGTACCTAAAATAATAAAACATCGTAAGTAGCCCTTGAAAAGGCTTTTGTAAAATCTGTACATAGTTATTAATGTCAATGGGTATAGTGGCCTGAAACGAGAAGAAAAAGGTTCCTTTGGAATACACGTGTTTAATAGTGGAAACATGCACCCCCAAAAAACAACAACGCATCAGATAAGGTTTAACAACTGATCTTTATTATAGAAAACACATTTAATAGAGAGTATTTAGAAATACAAAAAGATTCTAGTTTAAAAAACGTTTTAGTAAAACATCACCAAGTTTCCTACACGGCGGGGCCGACACCACCCCCTCCTAGAGGTTTAAGTACACCATTTCCACCACCAGAAGAATTGGACTGGCATATCACTGAGATGTAAGGATGACGAGATGAAACACGATCAGCGTTACTATAGAAACGAAAATCTCTTCCTTGGCGGTATTCATTCGTTGCTCGGAGAAGAAGACCGTAATTTGGTTGGCCATATTTCCAGTTTCATACAGCACTGGTGACGTCGATGGGGTAAAAACCAGCCCTGGTAACTCCTGGGTTGATGGTAACTCCGTAACTTGTAGGTGATGCCACTGCGTCGGATCCAAGATTTAACCAAGGTTGGGCCCAATTTGCACCATTGTAGCGTCTGGTACTGGTGGCTTGCGATTCGACCCAAGATTTCAACACTTGATGGGCGACAATCCTACGTATAGGAATCTGGGTACCTGTGTCTCAGACATAAAACTTGCTTTGTGGGCATAAGCATAGTAGAGGTACATTGTTGCACTTCTTATATGGTCACAGGCACGGACTTGAAGAGGTTGGAAACGTACAAGGCTGCGTTTCAAAGGGTAGCGTGGATGGGTGCCAACAATAAGATACCTCAGGTAGTTAAAATTGGTCGAGCCTCGCTCTGAGGTTACATCTTGAAGAACTCGTAGTCTGACTTGGAACACACTCCCTGTGACCATGGTGCAAGCAGCCACGGCGAAGATTAAGATCATTAAAGATTTCATCTTGAAAATGTAGAACTCCTAGAATATAACGCATAGGTTACACGTACTTACAAATGATTATATAGAGAATAATACATGGGTGCGCGGAAATACCGGATTTATTTCGAGTGTTGAACATGATATCTCAAGATGAGCGCAGCGAACGAGTAAGCCGTGTGATATCATATGTTCAACACGACAAAATAAATCTGGTATTTCCATATATTTTTCTGTTTATTATATAAAGGACAGTCTTAAGAAATTTTCTATAAAGCACCATACTTTATATAATAAATATATAGTCAGCCAGCTGATTCATGAAAATCTCTTTACTTGACAAGTTGGCTGGCTCAATCCAGTGCGTGCAGGACTATAGCTATAGTTAGAGATATATGTCCAGGGCCGTAGCAACTGGGGGGGGCTGCAGCCCCCCCCAATAATTTGCTAATAATCATTCTTTTTTCAAAATCATGCAAACTTTATCATTTAATCTGTGACAAACTGCAAAGAATGAAGATATTACTCATACTCCAGATCGTTCCTCGCGTAGAAATTTTAGCTGAATTTCTGTCGCGCATTTTCAAGAAAATCCCACAAAATCTGCACATTTTTGATGAACTAATGATTTATTTTGTCTTTTGCGTGTTGGGTCTTGCGAAAGAAAACTCTGAAAATGCCATTTCAGACCATCTAGAGACTCCAGATTTTCGAAATTTTCTCAAATGTTCTGCCTTCATTTCCGCGCAACTGCCATTTACGACGAAAATTCCCGCCGCGCATTTATAATACTACAGTCTGGCCCATACTTTCCTGTAAATTTCGACATACTAAAACGCTGTTTTCTGACTATCAGAATTCTGTTAAATCTTCCCCCAAAGCCCAGGAAATGGCATTTTAGAGACTCTAAATTTAAAAATTTCCTCGGGCCTTCGGCCCTCGCTTTCAGCCCCCCCCCCCAATCGAAAAGAGCTTTCTACGGCCCTGATGTCCAAGTTTGCATGCACACTATACTGTCGATATATATGGCGAAATCAGTTAATTGCTTGAACGTTATAAAATCATACAACTTTCTATTTTGTTTCTATCGATCAAACCGCACTTCACAATGATCAAACTTTTAAATGACTTCTGTCTATATAAGAGCGCTAAATTGGCATGCATGTGCATTAATTTATAGCCTCGATTTGTAAAACTCTCTGCTCTTGTCTTACCAGGCGAAACAATTCTCAGCCTAATTAGTGGAATTCTCAAAATTATCAGAATAAAGTTAAGGCCGATTGCATGGGCTGAATTGTTCCGCCTATAGCCGAAGGTGGCCATGCGACAATTTTACCAATACTGCGGTTATTATAGTAAATATACTATTGCGAGTACACGCGGGACACGGACCAACTCTAGGTGTGGTGAGTGAGTTGTACTAAGATTGAAAATGCTCATATAGTATATAGAATAATCGTTGTCAGTAGATATTAATTCAAGATGGTATATTTTTGGGCTTTCTCGCGCATAGAACGCTGTTGATTGCGGTAATTGTATTTAGCATTGGCCCCATCAGGTTTTTTCGGTTGCATTCTTGTCAAATGCACTGTCCGAAATTTTAAAACCTTCATTGAAACACAAAATCAACATTTTGATATGCTAGTCTGAGTTTTTATACTTATATTTGTGTACATTTTCAAAATTAAAACCATGCGTGCGCGATTTTTCCGAACCCGCTTTTGCTCGGCAAAAAACAATTACATTGGAAAAACGCGAAATTTTTAACTTGGTCATGTGGTACGTGTAATCGTAATTCAAGAAGTAACTTAAGAAGTATATAGATATATTATGCTCTACTTACAAGTTCACTTTGTCTTTGATAATCCGTTGTCTTGAGGTGATCGTTGTTTTCACTTTTGTGGTGATACTGAGATTTTGAGCAAAGTTCCTTGCTTATATATCTACCAATGGAGGATGTTAATTGATACAGCTGCCTGGGTAATGACGTCACAGGAACGGACAGGAAGTGCGAGGTTCCTCCAGAGTAACGTCCGATGACGTATTTTTCATGCATGAGGAGTTGAATAAGTCCAAAACTCAAAGGTGTTATTCTGTAAACTTTTTTGGTGACCGTGACATTTTTGGAGTTAATTCAACTCTTGAGATTTGGATAGATAGATAGATTGATGTTTTTAATTGATAAACCTTGCAGCCATAGCCATAGGCTGAATTGTGTTTACATTACATAAGGTCCAATTATTATAGCTATATTGCACCAATATTACAAATTATTGGTGTAATCAAAGTTTGGTGGATAAGAGATATTAAGAGGCTACTCTAAAAGCCGACTATTGTTAAAATGGTCAGTTATAGTTTAGTGTTGTTATTCAAATTGGCTTAGTGAACTAGCAATAAAAAACTGTTTCAGTTAAAACAATCTGTTTGAAGTTTGCGTTAAACTTATGTTTGGCCATCGGTGACGCACGTGTTACAATGAATTACAAGAAATCCGTGAAGTTTATTTTTTTGTCCATAGAACACAAAATAAATAATTATCCCATATAGTAAAAACACCGATATCCCGAAAATTGTTATACAAAAATTACAAGAAAAGTACACAAATGTTTTAATATAGCTAAAAGAGTTATTAAAATTAATACTGTTTGGCATTTGTTATGCTGTGTCATCAGTTGCAATAAAGGATTTCTTTTTTTTTTGAAGATCGTGAATAATCAGTTCATATATTTAATTCAAATTATTTTAAAGCATATTCCAAATTATCAGCCCCTTTATATACTAGTAATTAGGGAGTGGTTGGCATGATTCGTTCTTTTACTGTATACATATGTTTTGTTGTTAACTATTGGAAGCATATTTTGTTTTGTATAATGGTGAATATCACTATTGTTTAAGAATAAATTGTCAAATATGATTGGTAAGTGTTTTGTGTTATGATAACGAAACATGAACGAGAGAGTTAAATAATCAATATGGAAATAGTATGGTCTTCGTTGAAAATAGCATGGAAATCCAATTTAAAACTACACATGCAGTTTAAACATTGAGGTTTACACAGGGTTGATGATTGAGAAAAGTTCTAGGACCCAATGGACCATTTGCATTATAGACTAAATTTTGATCTAGACAAATATTTCATCACAGTTTGAAAGAGCATCACAAAATTAGTAATATTCCAAAGTTTCGTTGCGAAATGTTGTAAAATGCGGAAAATATAGCCTTGCGAAATTTGCAATTTTCAGTCATTTTAGATTACAAACGGGAAATTGATGCCCCAACACCCGATTGGGCTGTCAATTTCCCGTGCCTAATACAAAATGACTGAAAAACGGCAAACATCGCATGGCTATATGCCTATATTATCCGCATTTTACAACATTTTGCAACGAAACTTTGGAATATTACTAATTTTGTGATGCTCTTTCAAGCTGTGGTGGAATTTTTGTCTAGATCAAAATTTAGTCTATAATGCAAATGGTCCATTGAAAGTAGCCGAGTTGTATACCAGCTTGAAATGTAAGCGTTACAAGACGTGATAATCTCAGTAATTTTGCCGTTGTAAAGAGAGCGACGGCAACGTCTGAAACGCCACTTCCGTGGGATCTTAATTGGTCATTTCTGCTCATTTTCTTGTGTTAATATAATATTATTAGCCGTCCTCGTAACCTCGTCGACTTTCGTCGGGCCTGCATGTTGGCGTTCTTAAGAACAGTATTTTTTTATAATTTCAAAAGTGTGAAATTCAAGGCTGTTTCTTGTTACCTTCCCGTACTAGATTAAGCCTTGCTTATATAAAGTTCGCTATTTCCAACACAACACGTCCGTAATGGAACTAATATATAATCCTATGAACATGCACTAATATAGTAATATAACCCAGCTTGTATTTAATAATTTGATATATTTGAAATAAATATAATCTACTGTTGTACAAAGAATCTCTTGGACTAGTTATCATATTTCAATGACATTATAAGTTCCGCATTCTTTACTTTATATATGCATGTATCTGTAATTATACATTATATGTACTGATTGACTGTAAATAATTGATTATGTAATCTAATACAAATGGTTATAACTATAGGGGTGTAAATCAAACGTATATCGAGATTTCTAGTAGGTCTCTTGTCCAAAATCTTTAAAAATACTGTAATATATCATAAATAAATTTATTGTACATGGGAAAATGATAAGAAGAAAAAAATTCGAGAAAAAAGCGACAATTAAATTACATAATCTGTCTATGCTCACAATTACGTGGTCGAAGTACACTATTATTTAATTATTACACTGTAACAATCTCGTATAAATGGAAGTTGTATAAGACGAAAGAAACCAAAACGAGAGATATAGTAACGGCGTATTCTGTAATCGAAAGCCAAGTTCTTCAAGTTTGATAGTACCCTATTCGGTGGTATAGTATTTCATAGAGAAGTTCTGTAGTATTTGATAGAGAAGTTCTGCATGTAGTATTTGATAGAGAAGTTCTGTAGTATTTGATAGAGAAGTTCTGCAGTATTTGATAGAGAAGTTCTGTAGTATTTGATAGAGAAGTTCGGTAGTGTTTGATAGAGTAGTTCTGTAGTATTTGATAGAGAAGTTCGGTAGTATTTGATAGAGAAGTTCTGCATGTAGTATTTGATAGAAAAGTTCTGTAGTATTTGATAGAGAAGTTCTGTAGTATTTGATAGAGAAGTTCTGTAGTATTTGATAGAGAAGTTCTGTAGTATTTGATAGAGAAGTTCTGTAGTATTTGACAGAGAGGTTCTGTAGTATTTGATAGAGAAGTTCTGTAGTATTTGATAGAGAAGCTCGGTAGTATTTGATAGAGAAGTTCTGTAGTATTTGATAGAGAAGTTCTGCAGTATTTGATAGAGAAGTTCGGTAGTATTTGATAGAGAAGTTCGGTAGTATTTGATAGAGTAGTTCTGTAGTATTTGATAGAGAGGTTCTGCAGTGTGTGATAGAGAAGTTCTGTAGTTTTTGATAGAGACGTTCTGTAGTATTTGATAGAGAAAGTTCTGTAGTATTTGATAGAGAAGTTCTGCATGTAGTATTTGATAGAGAAGTTCTGTAGTATTTGATAGAGACGTTCTGTAGTATTTGACAGAGAAGTTCTGTAGTATTTGATAGAGAAGTTCTGTAGTATTTGACAGAGAGGTTCTGTAGTATTTGATAGAGAAGTTCTGTAGTATTTGATAGAGAAGTTCGGTAGTATTTGATAGAGAAGTTCTGCATGTAGTATTTGATAGAAAAGTTCTGTAGTATTTGATAGAGACGTTCTGTAGTATTTGACAGAGAAGTTCTGTAGTATTTGATAGAGAAGTTCTGTAGTATTTGATAGAGAAGTTCTGTAGTATTTGACAGAGAGGTTCTGTAGTATTTGATAGAGAAGTTCTGTAGTATTTGATAGAGAAGCTCGGTAGTATTTGATAGAGAAGTTCTGTAGTATTTGATAGAGAAGTTCTGCAGTATTTGATAGAGAAGTTCTGTAGTATTTGATAGAGAAGTTCGGTAGTGTTTGATAGAGTAGTTCTGTAGTATTTGATAGAGTAGTTCTGTAGTATTTGATAGAGAGGTTCTGCAGTGTGTGATAGAGAAGTTCTGTAGTTTTTGATAGAGACGTTCTGTAGTATTTGATAGAGAAAGTTCTGTACTATTTGATAGAGAAAGTTCTGTGGTATTTGATATAGAAGTTCTGTAGTATTTGATAGAGAAGTTCTGTACTATTTGATAGAGAAGTTCTGTATTATTTATAATGAGTTTGAGTCAGACCAAAAACATATGCCCTCGAGCATCCACTCTATTGTTATATTTTATGCAGACCGGTTGTACGAAGGCCGGATAGCGCTATCCATGCCAGATGAATGACGTCAAAAAACAAAGACGGTTTAAGTTTGTTTCCCTATGTACTCGTGCAATAAGATTACATACAGTGACGTGACTAGTTGAAGTTCAAGATCAAGTAGGTTGATAGCAGGGGAAATCAAGTTTTAGTGACTGAGTCGTGGTATTTACATAAACATACACAGCGGCGGCGGAACAGATTTCATTTTGGGGGGGCTAAAAAATTTTTTTCCGTGACCCCCCCCCCTCCCCCCCCACCCGCCGCCAAAAAATTTTCGGTCAGTGTACCATTTTGGGGGTACAAAAATTTTTCCGGACACATACAAGAAAAGGGATGAAAAAATTTTTTCCGGACATATAACAAACGTTTTTTCCGGGAAAACACTATTTTTAAACAAAATATTCCAAATTTTTCCCCTTATACCTAAATTTTCAAAAAATAACCTAAATTTTTCTTTAATTATTAAATTTTTCCAGAAAAAACTAAATTTTCTGGGGGGGCTAAGCCCCCCACTTTTACTTCTGGGGGGGGCTTTAGCCCCCCTAGCCCCCCCGGTTCCGCCGCCCCTGAACATACATACCATGCAAGTACCGTTTGCTGAACATTCAGTTAATCTACAGTACAATGTAACGCTGTATATCCAAAAATCTGTCTCAGAAAACGCATGAATTGCAGTCCTAGCGGTGGAAAAATACACAAATGTTCTGGGGGAGAATACCCCCAGATCCCCCTACTATTTACAAACGACATCATACCAAACGTTTTGTCACCTATGTACAACCATCAGTCATCTCTCCACACTCAGTATATAATATGGTCCCTTTTTGTAGATCCCCCATGCACGAACAAATTCTTAAAAAAGGCCCTGTGGGAAATAAAATGCATCCCCTGAAATCGTCCATTCATTTGTCGAAATTTCTATCTATAATAGATCATTTTTAAGCCGAAAATGGTAACAGTTTCCGCACGCAATACAAACATATACAAAATTTGCAAACTTTGCAAGGCTATATTTTCCAAGCTTTACAACATTTCGCAACCAAATTTTGGAATTTTAATAATTTCATTATGTTCTTTTTAGCTGCGGTTTAGCTGCTCCGTTTATCTTTACTTAGATTAAAATTTAGTCTAACATGCAAGTTGTCTAGCTATTGGCTATTGAGTGAGATACTCCAAAATCTTTCAACTTATAGATACTACAGTACCTACGTATCTTTTTTTCTGTAGAGTGTCACGACAGCAACACACGGTGCAAGGGATGGAAGGAGCAAGGCGAATGCTATCACAATCCTTTATACATGAGCGCATTTTGTCAGAAGTCGTGTGAAATATGCCGAGAGAATATTAACGAACCCAAGAATACACAGCGTAGCTACAACGTACGCAGGGTCTCTTGAAAAGGCCTCTCTCTAGTAGGGGTGGGGGTCAAGGAAAGTGACCTCATTGAGAAGTGGTGAAGACGGCGGGCACACAAAAAGGGTGTCTGGGGGCTCTGCCACAGTACTAATTTTGAGACCCTCGTTTTGATTTTCCTGCATAACTAGTTCAGAAACTTTATGCTAAATGTATAGACACCAACAACAGGCATACCAGAAATATTATTGTGGCAATATTGTTTCCTATAGCCACGATTTTCAGTCAACGGTGGACCTGTTTTATTATTTATTTAAAAGAAAAGACATCTGTGGTTTAATTGCCAAAATATAGCGATAAGTTCCAGTCCCCATTTGCAAACAAACAAAAAATAGAAATTTCTTAAAAAGAGTTTGGACAAGGTTTTAAAATGAAATTCTGTTGAGCCAAAATTTTTCAAATTACGCAAATGTGATTATTCATATTTTTTTGCTCAACAGTTATTTATAATTCAGTATGCTAAGAAAAATATGGGTCCTTTTCGAGTTTTTTTAAACTAAATTACTTTGCAGCCAAAATATCCGCCATCTTGAAACGTTATTGTTGCCATAGAAACGGCAGTTGTGTAACGTTTGTAAAGAAATTTCAGACCCTTTATGCGTTGTTTTACATCAGTAAGATGCTTTTTGGTTTTCAACAAGTAATGATTGTCAAAAAATACTTAAATACGCGGATCTAAGATTAAACCCATCCAGACTTAATCAGTCTACATGACTCCAGTATACGGTACAGAGGTCAGTGCTCTTCTGCGCGCACTTGACTGACCTCTGCACAGCAATCAACTTTCAGTATTTGTATAAGTCTAACGCGCCCAGACGCAAATACACTTCATATTATTAACAACCCAAATAGTGAAAGATCTTGCTTATAAAGTTGAAGTGGAATTCATTACTCTCGCATTTCATATCGGCGTTTATATCTGACAATATGTGTGCTTTCAGAAAACCTATCGCTGTATGTTTATATTTGTACATTGTCATATCGGGTAAGTACAAAGTACGCAATCTTTGTTGACATTTGTAAAGTAAGCATTTGTGTTGGTAGTGCGTGTATAATTTTAACATAATTGTAGTATATTTGTCTTGTAAGGATAAGACAAACTGATAGAATACGTCGTTTGTATATAAAGACTGAAATAGCCTGACGGGGATGACATATTTTGTATTTGTTTGTACTAAATATGCCGCTTTAGATATGCGATATTTGACTTCCGGGGCAATTGTCGATAATTAAATACCATGAGCAATATCCCCGAAAGGTTATTCTTGAATTGTAATGTATTAAAAGACTAGATAAAGTCCCGGTCAAACGCGGACGAGAGGTCACGAGAGTGCCAAGTCACGCATTGTTACAGGGAGACATTCAAGCTCCAGATTAACATAATAAAAGTTTGATGAGTGTTCCAACTATGTTTTAACTTCAATAGAATACATGATTACATGATATTGTTTTTGTTACTTGCATAAACGCGCTGAATTGAAGGTTCAACATATCTGATGGCTTTAAGGGCTGTTGCTATATGCTTGGCTGACATCTGTAAACCTATCTTGTTTGCACGTGGTGAGATCCCGTCTCGTATACATTATTAATTTTATATAATATGTTTCCGAGATATGATTCAATCGTCAGGCTCCCGCTTGAGCAAGGAAAGATCCCGGCACGGTTGGCGAACTCTGCAGGCTAGTCCGTCTCCTGTGATGCAAGTGACAAACTGTCCGGGAAAAAGCGTGCCAGCCCAGTTTACCGCCGTTCGTGAATCGTACCAACAGTCCCTCACGCCCAGTTTGGACGGCGAACTTTTGATGCGCCGAACCTAATACAATTAGAACCTAAATTAAGTAGTCGGCAAGTTTTGATTAGGCTCGACCATTGGGCTCGACACGGCACAAAATACGGCAAGTCATGTCGTATAGCCTATTAAGGCCGATTTAGAATGCGCAACTTTTGCCTAAAACTGTTGCATGCAACCTGCTTACAACTTGAGATATGGTCGTAAAGATTGAGTCTCGATCTTTCTCATCAGCCGAAATACAGCATTTTAGAACTGAAAATACGCGGAGTGATTATAACTGGAGAACAAACTTTAAAACTAGAGAATACTTATGATTTATATGTGGTTTACAGATCGTGACCGTTGAGAAAGATCGTAACTCTATTTTTACGACAATTACGGTCATATAGAAAGGCTTAGATCAAGCACACAATATTTTTTGCTAGGTTTTTGAAACCAAAAAAGTGGTACGGGTACCAATTTTATCGGTGGCGTACCAAAAATTGAACACTACGCTCAATTTTTGGTACGCCACCGATAAAATTGGTACCCGTACCACTTTTTTGGTTCTTGGACTACCTATTTAGGTAGTCGAAGAACCAAAAAGTGGTACGGTACCAAAAATTGAGCGTAGTGTGAACGGGGCTTAGCTAAATAGGTAGTCCAAGAACCAAAAAAGTGGTACGGGTACCAATTTTATCCGTGCCGTACCAAAAATTGAGGTAGTGTAAACGGGGCTTTAGTTACTTGTATTTTGGCACGGTACTGTTGTCGAACTTGTGCCGAAAGTGCCGTATTTAATTTGATTAAGTTCGATGTATGAAAAGTACGACCCAACTAGAGCAAGGAGCAAACAATTCTCATGACTAATTTGACCTATACTGGCAATTTGTCAAAAAGTTACATGAATATAATGGCGTTCTTACACGACTGTATTGGTATTCAGAAACTAAATCAATTATACTTGAATGTTTCACAGCGTGTTTTTCATTTACTTTGGCGCTGAGTAAGACCTGGATTCAAGACAACAATTGGGAAACGACACGAAACTGGAATCTTCAAAGACTACCATGTGCTGGTGATGTTGTGAAAATTGATTTGGTAAGTATAGGTTATTTTGAGGCAACGAGGGGATATGTGATTTATTCACCGAGGCGCGCAGCGCCGAGGTGAATAAACACATATACCCGAGGTGCCTCAAAATAACGTACTTATTTTTCACACTGCGAGGTCGCGTTAATGAGTCAGAATAGAAATAATTCTCAATGCCATATTGCTTTTGCGATGTTGTTTTTTTCTCATTTTTTGTGCTGCAAAGACATTGCAGGTGAATATTAGAGGGGATTATTAATTGCAGGTGAATATTAGAGGGGATTATTAAACGGAAATTGATTAGAGTGGAATATTGAATATATTCCCCGATAAGAACAAAGGAAACCGAGCAGGGTGAAAAATAATTTATGATATATATTCTTAGCGCTGGTCAAACGGCGATGAGAGGTGGCAAGCGAGATTTTACACTGTAAAAACAGATTGGTTAAAATAACCAATTTGTGTTGGTTGTCACAGATGCACTTATTTGACCAATATTTTATTGGTCAAAACAACCAAGAATTAGGTTATTTTAACCAGTTTTTCGGTTGTTTTGACCAAATAATATAGGTGAAAAGAAAATGCAAACGAAGGGCCTTCGCTCGAAACGTCGAAATTCTCCTTATATTCAGTTTCGAATTCAGCTAGTTGCATTGCTACCAACGAAAGCTTGTTAGTTGTTATCATTAGCACTACCTATACACTGGCACAGACAATTCAAGATGAATGCACTGTTTGAGTTTTCTGAACTACTCTCTTGACCTGTCAAACGAAAACAAGAGTTGCATGAGAGTTGACCAGAGTTGACCGCGGTCGTTACTCCTCGCAGCAAAACCTCTCGTCAAAATTCCAACTCGAAGTCGATGAGGGCTAGGGATTATTTTAAAGAAATGTTACTCACTTCACAAAAGACGTAAAATAGCAGTATGTCGCGTACATATTATCCTGTTCTGTACTAGGTCACCTGAAAATTGACTATATACTTTCCAATTTTTGAATCAAATTAATCCAAAACAAGAAAAAAGGTACAACTTTGTAAATGGGGATATGGGCATCACTTAACCCAATAAGGAATTTCGTATTTTTAGCCAATGGAGGTTAAATTAATTTCTTGCATATTCAGAGACAATTTGTTTTAGATATTAAAGAAAATCATTACTGCGCAAAATCTCATTTATCACTGCGCAAATCCTATTCACAATTGCACAAATTGGTGATCACTGCACCTTATAATAATTATCCCTGACCCTCATGATGCAGGGCTGGTGGATCTAAGGAATCATTGTGTTATTCTCTATTCTCTCTGTCAACTTTGAATCATTATATAATAATCAGATATCACATTTTACTTTAAACAGGTAAATGGTGATATATTTCTAAACTCAACCACGACGATTAAAGAGTTGGTATGTTTTATTTTTCAGTTTAACCTTATATTATTATATTCAAACGGTAGATAAATGATAGAGTATACAAAGTGTTCAACCCACTGGCATCTTAAAGGATATAGGCTAGTTGGCAGATTCCTTTAGTAACAGTATCTATAACAATTATTAAATATCCACCCCATAAAGATCAACAGCAAAGACTTACAAGAAGCAGTTATATCGTTATGTTACGGTTGCAGGATACTAGGGACCTGTATACGTAATTCATTTTTTGCAGCTGTTTCTGGTTAGGTATAATAAATGTATATAAATTTCCACTCGATAACTTCTATCTACAAGTTCCTTCAACAACTAGGGATAGGTCCTATTAGAAGACAAGATCCAGTTATACCTCTTCCAAAATGCACAACGAATGTATTGTCCCTCTGTAGAATTTCAAGAAGAAATAGAAGAAAATTTTGATTCCAAAACTTAATTGCATATAGGTAAAATCATTTAGGCCTACTTCACTTGGTGTAATAAGTTGATTATCCCTCTATAGGCATTTCAAGAAGAAAGCTCAATCGTGTTAGGAAATTCAGCGGAGGTCGTTTTTATAGAAGAACATTCTGATTCAAACACTTGCAAAGGTAAAACAATTTACTTAATTTGATGAAATAAGTTGATTGAAATGAAGTTTTAATTTTACTAGAAAGATATATTACATTTCTTCTTAAAATGAACAAAATATATTACCCATACCAAAAATTGTACCACACAATGTTATAGAAAACACTGGGGGCAGTTACGGTTTAATTTTATTGTTTTTTTCCTGTGCTTCGAGGCCATGCAGGGTTTTCCTCCAGGCGTTCCAGTTTTCTGGAGATTTTCGAGTGTAACATATTTTGAAAATGTACCTATATATGTGTAACAATCAACATTTGAGGAATACATCATGAATATGAAACACAATATTAACACTGACAGAAATATAACTCAGATAATGACTTAACGTTTACTGAATTTCTTCTGTAAAAGTTATACTGTCTGGTATAATTTGATTATATATATCATAATATGGATAATACTGTTTTGCTTGAATGACATTAGGCTTGAGGAGGTGGTACTTCTTCAATCACAATACGAGACATGGAATTCCAACCAGCTACACCATCTCCGAGACTGAAACTCTGACAATTGCCTACCCAGAACCCCACACGTATGTGACCTTTAGGAACCTGGTTACAGTAGCCTTCAATATGGCGGTGACGAAGGGGGTTGACTTGGGTCGATTTAACGTAAACAACTCCTTCAATAGTCGCTGGTTTTGTACATTCTGCACCATCAAATGTAAAATACCATCGATTGCAAACAGCTCTGCCATAAGAACGTAGGTTTCCTGCGTAGAACACACGGAGTGAGGTGTTGTAATATTTCTTGTTGAAAAAACAATTCTATATGAAGAGATGAAATAATGAGTTGGTGTACCGCAACTCGTCTATTAAATCCCTTTCTAACAATGAAGCTTGCGTTTAGGCTGTTAAATCTATCTAATGCTAGCAATTTGGGTTTAAGGTTAAAAAAATAAAACAAAACGAGCATGCACTTTTGCACTAACCATTCAAAACAAAAAAAACAGCTCAACTAAAAACGTTCTTGCCAATTAGCTTGTAATTTCACACAAAGCACCGCTGAAATATCTCTGACTCCGTCCAGTAACCTAGCTCTACAGAGTACTATATTCGCTAAAAATAGCGCGGATACCTACAAATACCTAGAATTATTTTTGGCTTTTAGCCATTGAAAAAACGAGAACACAGTAAAATGAATAATAATCCTCATTGTGGCGTTGCATTGCATAATGGCTTTTGTCGACATACAACATAGTTACATTTGTATTATGATGACATAACACATATGCATGATTTCGATGCACGATATCCCGCAACCAGTTATAAAGTAATTTTGAGGATTTGACTTGTGTTTTTATCGTGGTTTTTGCCACCAGAATTTTGTTTATATTTCTTGTCCTACGTTTGTTCAATAATGAATAAATTGGAGACAAGAGTCAGTTCAACGTATCACCGACTTTACATGATATGGAGAGAACTAAATGCACGATTTACGCCCGTATTCTAAAAGCTCACTCACACTCAATGAGTGGAAGTTCAGTCCGAAGTATTTTTTATTTATTAAACGAACTTGAAAAAAGACTTTAAGCGAGGCTGGTTTACACAATCAACGTTTCGGTGATCACAGTAGGAATTTTGCATAGATAAATTCCATGCAAGTAAGAGCCATGCAAGTATGAACATAGCTATAAACTTTGCTGCCAAAATATTTTAAATATTTATATTTCTTAAACCTGTATCAAGTCATTGTTTTTGTTATCCTCCCTCTTCCAAACACATTGTTTCCAATTTGACTTCACCAGATCTACGTTATCATCTCCTCGCTCCCCAGGCTCCCCTTTTTCTCCAGCAGGACCCAGCGACCCGGGTATACCATCTCTTCCGGGATTTCCTGGAATACCAGGGATACCTGGGATACCCGCAGAGTCACAGATCGACTGAGATGACTGAAAAAATTGACAGAAATTTGCTTAGAAGGTATAATAAGTCAAAACACCATACTTGACCCATTAAGCGACAGCGCTCTTCCCTTGATGAGTAAAATCGCCTGGCGTTAGACAGAAAAATAATAATGGAGGGTGCAATTCAACTTAATGGGTTAACTGGTCACATCGGCAGATAGTCTGGTTAATCCATTGAGCACCAGCATTCTTCCTTTGACCATCATATAATTGGACATAGTAAAATAGTACAATGTATATGGCGCATTAGAGCGTAACGCAACTTAATGGATTAAAAGGGACTATAACAAGTTTATTTTAACTGGCATTCTATATTTCTGCTTGCAATATACTCAAAAGCATAGTGGTATTCATTAATATATTGCTGTCTGCTTAGTTTGCTGAAAAACCAACTTCAAATCTCACTTTGTAAAGCTAAAGTTTTAGAGAACTTCCCACTGTCGGGACCACTTTTGTAGTATGTGATTGTCTGGTTTACTCCAATGATTATCACCGCGTACTTGAGCTGGTCAAGCGTC